CGTAAAATTTAAAGTGCAAAGGCAAAGGCTAAGGCAAGCATCATCTGCTAGTAGAATAAAAATAGGGGCATATGAGAAATTCATTCCGGTTTGTATTCAATCAGAATTTACCCAGTTTGGACCCTCAAACCAAAAGTGGACATGAGCATGATCTATGGTCGAAGTCTCCACCTTTCCGAGCATGTAATGCGATTCAAAAAACAAGCATGTTCAAAAATGCAAATGCATGAAAAATGTACATAAAATACATTCTTTTGACCAATGTGCATCAACGCTGTATAACCGATGAGAGAAAAGGCATACGTTTCCAAATGCACACAATTCTTGTGTATATTTAAGGTACGTGCATGATATTTTTATTCAAAAGACAAAATGTGCCACTTGATTCAGAAATGAATCAGAACATACTTCAAAGTGGCATTCAGAGAACCTCAGCAAACTCGAACTCAGCAGGGGACTTACCAGTTGCTAAGCAGGCTAAGAAAGAGAGCAGAACCAGTGGCTTTCCGCTCATGGCTGCTTTCCTCTCCATCCAGCCAAAGGTGGGTGGGTAGTGGGTGGGATGTGGCTGAAGTGAACAACCCCACCAGGAACTGAATGCTGCTAGGGAAGCAGAGGAAGAAGAGACGGGACCCAGCGTCCAGTGCTGCTCAGCTCCTGCTGCTGCTCAGGGCTCCCCTCCACAGCAAGCACACCTGGGTTTGCTCAGCGGCCATCAGCAGCCAACTGATGTTTACATCTGTGGGCGAACAAGGAAAGCCTCAAGCCACCGGGACCTATGGAAGGCATTGGTTGGCTGTCTGGCTTCTGGCTCCCTCTGGAGTCAAGCGATCAGGTTGAATTTTAACTCAATTGTTACAGTGTGTTACTTTTTAATTGTTACTTTGACAATGCAAACTACAAACACGGAAAGATTGCTTCAGGCTGCCAGAAGAGAGATAAGTTCTAGGTAGGCTTTGCATAACCCTGCACCTCATGAGCTTCTGGCAGTTCCTGGGTTAGCACACCATGAAGGAGACTTGTCTACTGTTGCCCATCCCTCAAGGTGGGTTTCTGTACAGGGCCGTCTGCCTGGCTGCAAGCCTTTTGGATAGCTCCAGCCCTCTTCATCTGACACCGAACTCTGCCATCTTATTTCCACTCACCCTCCTCTTCATTAGGGGCCACCAGTTCAGAGGGCCATGCCTGGCAACTTCGAAAAGATTCGATGACAGCTGGCTTCCTACTCTTCGTCCCTCCCCTGCTCATCTGTTTCCTCCACCCCCCCCCCCCAGCCTCAGTTTCTTGTTGGGGGAACAGAATGAGCTGAGAAGCACCAGTGTTTACCTAGTAACTATTTGTAGCCACAAGAAAATCCGGGGCAGAATCTAAAATAGTGCACTCAAATGCTGAGCACCTCTCCTACTCCAGGTTGGATCTGGGCTCGCCAGCTCCTTGAGATGACAAGTGAACCCCACTGGTCTGCTGAAAAGCAGTGCCTGACTGAACCACAGAGCTGCAGAAGTGCTGCAAAACTTCTCCAGCTCAGCCACGCTTGTGTGAAGTCTGCTGCCATAAAGCAATGTGGGTGATGCAAAATGCAGGGAGACTCAGTGCAGGGGAAAACCAAGCCTCCTGAAGATTTATGGCCCAATCTAGACCCTAGAAAATATCCCAGTCATGAGATTGTTTAGTGCTGCCCCTCTAGTGCAGGGCTAGGCCACCCAGAGCTCCCCAGATGGTTTGGACTACAACTCCCATGATCCCTGAATATTGCCCATGCTGCCAGGGCTGATGGGAGCTGTAGTCCAAAACATTTGGAGGATACTGGATTGTAGAAACCTGCCACACACGGGCAACAAAGAATGCACTGGAAGTGTGTATCTCTAGACCTGCTGTTTTCCTGAAACAGGTGAGAAAGACCTCAGGATCTATTTGTTTCCACACCCCAAAGAACCCAGAGACCCACAGATGGGGACATGCGGGAGGGAAGAGGAGATGGTGATGATCCTTGAGCAACATACACTGGGAAGACCTGTGCAAACATGGACAAAGCTACATCTGAATTACTACAGATGTGGGATTCTGAAGACCACCCTTTGGCCAGAAAGAACCTTTGCTAGTTGCTTAATGGTAGACAGCACGGAAATGGAAATCTGGCAGCAACCCCCAGAAATACGCAAGCAGGTTCTGGCCTAGAGGATGTTAGCAAATTCTGAGGACGAAAGGATCTGCCGAGAGGGAGCCCCATCAGCCAACTGGTCAGACAACTTTATTAATCCCTTCAGCCAAAGGCTGTAGCAAGCAGTACACTTTTCAAGCAAGACATTCAAAAATAATAATAATGAAAAGCACGATCCTGCCCCACCATACAGCTTTACGCTATTTTATGCTATATGATCCTCTTCATAAGTGGAGCATCTTTAAACCATTATCACCTGGCAGATAAGCAACGTGCACCGCGACCCTGGTCTAGACTGCAGACTTGGCTGTAGGGAGGCAGATTCTGTATACCAAAGCTAACCAGCCATTTCTAAGTTTTGCCTTTAAAGCAGGGGGAGGGGGGGTAAAAAATTAAATACTTCAATTATGTTGGAGGGCCCTGCATAAAGCCCAGCCTTGTGATCCATTTCCCCAAGGACCCTGCTTCACTTGGTAGAGCGGCCAGAGAGTTTCAGGTTGAGTAAAGGCCTGGATGGAGTGAGGCCCCGTGAGGAGGCAGGCTCTGAACCAGCAGCGGGCGAGCTGCAGCCTGCCCGATTCTTTGGCCACGGTGCCCATCAGCCTTAGTCAACGTGAGTTGCAGGCCAAAAAATGTGGGAGCAACAAGGTTGCCCAAGTTGCCCTTGAGCCTTTCCTTCTCAAAAGGGAGAGTCTCCATTTCCAAGAAGTCTTGTGCAGGTTATGCTTGAACAGGAAGCTGGAGGGGTCAACACCATGGGAGGAGTCTCCAGAGATCGAAGAGTCTCTCCCCTTTGGAAAAATGCCCCCTGCGCAGAAGATGACGGGGTTGGAGGGTGCTGGAGCCAGCCTGCTCGACCCGACTCCCACTCCTTGCACATTTACTGTGCAGTTTTGAAATGTTTGAATAAGGCTTAGGTTTGAATCCATATTAGATCAAGTCTCAGCCTTTCAGTGTGAGTAGGAATATTCCATTTCCCAGAATGGTCAAAAGGAAATACCCTTTTGGGATCATGGACACCTGGAACTGCAAAGACTGAGAAATTGTGCTCAGATCCCTACAGGTGGAAAAATTCCCAGGTGTTTTTTCCTCCTCAAATGTGGCTGGAATCTCTGGTCTGGGAAGCAGAGACTTAGATCTAGAACCTAAGGTCTTCCAACCAGAAATGTAGCTCTGAATTTGCTAATGGAAGAGCAATCTTCAAGCCAATGTTATGCAGTATCTAAGTCAGCGTTAAGGAACCCAGGGCTTTCCAGATGTCATTGACTGTCAATGCCTATGATGCGATCTGGAGTCTAGGAACATCTTTACGGACACAGCTTCCCCACATCTGGTACAAGTGCCTTTGCTTTTACTAACATTTACACATAGATTTTGACTGAGTGTTCACATTGACATATTCTGAGCTGGACTGTGCATGTGGGTTGGAGGAGAAGGAAAGAGAGAGAGGAGGATGGGGCTTTAGGGACAAACCCTAAACCTTCCTCATTGGGTTTTCACAGATTGGCTGGTATCTGGGTGACCCTCTGAAACTGCTTTGTAGCCTGGTGTTTTCTGGGCTGACCCCCAGCCACTCTGATCAGTCTCTAGCAAATGGGGATCTTCCTGCTACCTGAGATCATTTTAGTCGTGAGTGTTTGGGTGTTGGACCATCTGCATCCACAGCCTAAGCTCTGCCACTCAACTATATCCATCCGTGACCAGCAGAGAAAGCACAAAACAAGCCTTAGTGTGTGATGCAAAACATTGCTAGGAATTCAGTGTGTGTAATGTACATTATTGGTTTAGTCTAGGGGTAGGCAGAAGGTAGATCTCCAGAGGCTTTGGACTTCAGCTTCCAGCCTTCCTGCCTGATGGACATCAGCCAGGGCTTACAGGGTCCAAAGCCAAAACATCTGGAGAGCGACCATCAGCCTATCCCCTGGTCTCTTGTGCTCTGTACAGACCTTCACTACCTGTCATTCGTCAAGCCAAAGCATGCCAACGCTGCCTAGAGAGGCGGAAGTAACAGGATCTGTATGGAGCTGTGGTGCCATCAGACTTGAGGGGACAGGTGTTGTGTGTTCCTGTCGCCAGAATGAGCACAAAGGCCCCAAAAAGCAGCAGGGCTGCCTCGCTACATTTTGAAGCAAGTAAAATTATACACTGATTAAAAACAGCTATTCGTTATCTGATGAATAGTCTTTCCCCCACGAGGTGCCTTCCAGATCTTCAGGTGCCCTGACATTCCCTTTCATCCCCGCCAGCATAGTCAACCGTCAGAAATTCTAGGACTTATGATCCAAAACATCTGGAGGACACCAGGTCAGGGAAGGTTTGGACAAACTGGGGAGAAGGCAGCTCTCAGTGGCTCCGGCATCGGCGGCCGTGTGCCCATGCGGCTGAGGGACTTGGCCAGGAGGGGGCGCTTCCACTCAGATCCTGCTTGAGGATCCTTTGGGCGGCCGGTTGGCCACGGTGAGACAGAATGGTGGACTCCGTGGACCTCTCATCTCCAGCACGGCTTTTCTTATTTTCTTGTGTTTTAAATTCCTAAGTTGTAGAATTACCTAACTGTATCATGGATATTAAGCTCTCACTGGTCTGCATTTCACTTGGAGGAGTTACTAAGTGAGCAGGTCTGTTGATGGGTTCCCAGAGAGATCAGACTCCTTTGGGAGGGAAGGACAAACCGGGATCCCGAACACCCCAGGGAGAACAACGCTCCAGGCGACCGGCGAAGCGTTTCCCTGGAGCGAAAGGGGCATCATGGTCGGCCTTCGTTGTGCATGTGCTGCCACCGCCACCACCCCATGCTAAGCGGAGTCTGGTTCCGAGCCGGAGGCTGGGCCCCGTCCAGTTAAACGTTGCACAGGTTGGTGTTGCAGCAAGTGCGCTCATAGGCCATCCGGAAGGCGCTGTCCCTCCTCTCCATCTTGTTGCAGAGCTCTGCGAATTTGCCGCAGCCGTGTGTTTTGTAGAGCGGCAGCTCACCTGAAGTGGAGGAGAAAGGGCAAGGGCAAGGGCAAGGAGAAGGGCAAGGGAGAGATTACTGTAACTTCTTCCTTCATGCAGTTCAGGTGTTCACTTACCAGGTAGGTCTGAAAGGTGAGAGAAGGGGCCACCCCAGCCCTGCCCCTCTTCATCTGTGCTTGCAAGGCCTGAGGGCCGCCCCCCCCCCCATTCGTAGGAGGGGCCAAAGTATGCTTGCCGTGTCTGCAACTGTCCCCACTTTGGCTTTGGCCTTGCGCCACTGGAATGCAGCCCTTGAGAGCAGCTTCCTCGGGCCAAAACAACCCTTGAGAGCAGCTCCCTCAGGGTCTGCCTCCCTCGCCATGCATTGCCAGGGCCAGCAGCCCTTGCTATTATGCCCCAGCTACCTGATAGCCAAATGACTTATGTAGCCTCCCCTGATATTCTTGGATCCCCCCCGACCTGCTCCTTTGTCTGGCCCCTTTCTGCCATTCTTAAGGTGCTTCTGTATTTGCTTGGGTGAGTGAATTTTTGATTCGCATCTTCGGTTTGTAAGCCATTTGGAAACCGGCAAGTGATTCTCAGAGGGGCTCTCTCAGAGAGACCCTCCTCACCATCGCTCCTGGGCTTGCCTGCCTCTGGATCCTGGGCCGGTCTGCCCCACTGCTCAGGAGAGGGCACAGTGAGTGGAGACTGCTTCCCCTGCGGGCTTGTGGGACGGCTCACAGGCTTGGAGGAGGAAGAGGAAGGAGAGCAGGGCCAGAGGGCTGTGGGAGGCGGCAGGTGCCCTGGTAGGCCACCTCTTGGCTCCTGAGGGTGCTGGCTGCCCCTGCACAATTCAGTGGCATTCTCTGTGCTTGTCTTTACCTGAGTAAACCTTGGTCGTCTCACAGTACTGGCCAGCACCTGCTCTGCAGGGCTCCCCTGAGCGGAAGCAGAGGGATCCAACTTTGTAATGGCAGACTCTGCACACAAGGCCTTGAACTGCAAGAGAGAAATTGGAAGACAAGCAAAGTTTGATCAGACCCTGTGGTCACAAAGATGCTCTCTCGCCCTCTCGCCCTCCCTCCCTCTCTTTAAGAAATCAAGGAAATATACATGGTTCTTCCCATACGGCCGCTGCATGCTTTTATGCCCAGAACAACCCTGTGAGGTGAGCCAGCACGTTCATGGCCTAGCAGGGATTTCAACCTGGGTCTGCCTGGTAAAAAGCAAATGCTTGGATCACTGCACCAGTCTTACGCTGTGATTCACCTTTCCATGCCAATAGGTCAGGAACAGGCCTTATCTGCACCTAGGTGAGGGTCCCAGCCAGCTTCATCCTCCAGCTTTTAATGCTAGTTGATGTTGTTTACTGATGGAAGTATTCTTTGTGTGTGCATGTGTGTGTGTTTGTGTGCATGCCTGCACGCACCTGTATGCTCATGTATAACAAGACAGAAACAATTTCAGTAATGAGTAAATAAAAGGAAATGGGGGGGAAAAACACCCATTAAGCCAGATCACAAGCAACCTGTTTCTGGCCTGCTCAGTTTCACCAGCAAAAAGACGGAAGACGGAAGGAGTGCAGACCAAGAGATTTCCTGAGACATTTGTAAGACAAAGCTTATGTGTATGATCATGTTGTTGTTTTTACAGGCACAGAAGGGTGTTGCTGTTTTGTTGCAAGTATAACAATAACAACGGGCAACAACCTGCCCCCTCCCCCACAAAGCATCATGCACGAAACGTATTCTGTGAACTCTCGAAGGCAGCTCTGAAACTGCCGCGAGCAATAAAATAGCAGCATTCTGGATCCCATCCAACAGAGACTGCGCAGTGATGAAAACGGATAATACTTTCTTTTGTTTTTGCCTGTATCAGGTGATGCAGAGGGAAAGGAATGCTGTTCTCTCCTGGAACACCCAAAAGGTTGTGCAAGGACTACCTGTCCATCCCTGCTTGCTGTGGGAGCCCAGTGCTGTACTGGCGTATCTGGCCAGCAACAAAGCAATCTTAAATCAACTCTAGCAGCTGTGGCAATGGTGGATTGAGGGTGTTTTGCTTTGCTGTGCTTTTTATGGCTGTTAAGCAACTTTCTCCAGTGAATAAAGATTCTGACTTGTTCATCCTTTCCCAGCCTGGTTAGGTCCTCCAGACTTTAGACTACCGCTCCCCTTATCCCTGACCATTGGCTGTGCTGATTGGGGATGGTGGGAGCTGTAGTCCAACAACAACTGAGCACCCAGGACTGGGAAAGGTGGTGCTTGAAGTATTAAGGAAAAATACATAATGAAAAGCAGCACCAAGCCATACAAAGGAGGATCAAAGAAGTCAAGCAAAGCACACAGTAATGAACAACAGAGCTGAAAAGCAGACTATTAAGGCCACAGAAAACCGCAGAAATAAAAGCAGCAGAGCACAGGTTCAAAACAACCACAAAAAAGTGGAAAGCTTTATGGCATTATTATTCAAAATATCAGACAACCAGACTAACTGTCTGGTACCCAGCAGATGGCAAAGGTGGTGCCGGGCAAACAAGTCCCGAGAGATCTCCACTGCTGCGGAATGGCAGCAGCAAAGGCGCTCGTGCTCTGCGGCCGCAGCCTCCCCGGCCCGCGAGGGCGGGGACACCTGGAAGAGAGGCCCTGGAGGGCTGGGCTGGTGGCCGGCTTCCTCCCGGAGCCTCTTCCCAGCCTCCTTCAGCTAGCATGAACGTGTCGCAAAACCTGATGGGGCCACGGTGGGAGGGCGAGGCCCACCTTGCTGGAGGCCAGCGAGGGCTCAGCTGTGGGCAAGGAGTTGGTGCCAAGGAAGCTGCAATGAGAAGCCACCCTGCGAGCCGAAATAGGGGGCGGCTCTCTGTGGGGGCTCCCAGACTGTCTTTCCCTATCCGGCTGGCACCCAGATGGTGATGTGGGCAGAGAACAGCCTGCGATTACGGAGGCCTGTGAAACTGCACTAAAGGGAAGGGAAGGGGAGGGAAGGGAAGGGGAGGGGAGGCGAGGCGAGGCGAGGCGAGGGGAGGGGAGGGGAGGGGAGGCAGGTCTCCTGGCTTTTCTTGGCATTATTTCATTTCCAAAATTAGGGGTGCGGGGACCCCTAGATACCCCACATTTCTCCTGTCCTGGAAGCCCCCTGTTTGTTGGGGCTGGCTGTGGTGATCGGTAGGAAACCAAGGTTGAAAGAGCAGGGTGAGGGAGATGTTTTTCAGTTCACAATTTAAAGTGAATTAACTTAATTTCAAACTTTTCACATACTGTGTAAAGCGGAACTCACAGCTATCTGTCAAAATTTGTAATTCCAGTTTTGCAGTGCAGTTCTCCAGTCAGAAACTGCATGCGCACACACACGCGCGTGTGTGTGTGCGCGCACACACACACACACACACACACACAGGATACATAGTGATGCAGCACACAAAAATGCATATGTTAGTGAAAGTAACATTCAGAATGACTTCATATTCAGAAAACATACAATGAATGTGTGTGTTAAGCAGTGTTTTGTAGAAAATGTTAGAAAAAATGCACCATAATGTGTACAAATTTTGATATGAAACTTTAAAACTATTCAAGACTGGAAAAACAACAAACTGAGAGCAACTAAAATTGACAGGTTTATCCATCCTTATTAAGATGTTGGTTGTGGAGGAAATCAGTGGAGAAAAATGGCTCCTTTTCTCTCACAAGATTGAAAATTTACCAAATCAAATTCATTGGCTGTTAAGTTCAGGGAACTATGTGCATGTGTGTGTGTGTGTCTTTCTTCATATAACACAGAATTCATCCATAGAACACCCTGCTCAAAGATACGAGTGATGCCACAGGTGAAATGGCTTTTAAAAATGGCAAATTCATGTATGACAGATCAACCCTTCGTAACTAAACATAAAACCCCCATTTTCAGGAACAGTATCTCTCTGTTGACTTATTTATGATATTTATATCCCACAGTTTTCCTGGACTTATTTATTATATTTATAACATAATATATTTATAATATAATAAATTATAATATAATACAATAAATTATATTTATAATATAATAAATAAACTTTTCCTTTCCAGGAGCTCAGGGCTGCTTATAAGGTCCGCCTCCTCTTTCCTTTTTCCTCATAACAAGGAGCTCTGAGGTTGGTTGGGCAGAAGGTCTGTGACTGCCCAAAAGTCACCCACTGAGCACCACAGCTGAGAGGGGACTGGAACTCGGGTCCCCCGAGTCTCAGTCCGGGGTCCTTAACCACAGCACCACACTGGCTCTCTATTTACTGCAAGCAGAGTTCAGTCAGCAGTCAGTGGCTCCCTCTGGAGAGCCTTCCTCTTGTTTTGCAAAGAGGCATCCAGCCGTTCCTGCTCCGAGGAGGACCAGTTGCCTCTCTGGGGCCCATCCTACAGGGCAGGCCCTGCCCAGAAGCCCCTCTGCCCCGCTGCTGGGAGATGCTTCCTGGGGGTGATTGCCAAATCAGGCAGATCACTCGGGGCAGGAGTCCGATGCATGACTGCTGTGGCTCTCTGCGCTCCAGAGCAAGGCATGCCTTAAAGACTCCACCCACACACTGCTTGGCTGGATGCGGTAAAGGGAGAAGCCGCATGAGTCACCCCCTCGAAACTTTCCTCAGGCTGTCGAGTTCAAGACGCAGCTGAAGCTGTAAACAGCCCCAGACAACGAAGGTGATTTGGCTCAAAGCAGAGATTACCGAGACCGGCGCTGCTAGTGGTTCCTGTGAACAGGGAGACGGAGCTGTTCCCTGGACAGTGGAAAGCTCAGGCCCTGCTGATGCACCCTCTGGATCTGGTCTGCCTGCAGCTGTCCTCATACCACGGAATAAGCCCCACGCCTCCAGCAAGGACCCAGACGGTCCATTTCTTAGAACAACGGTGCACAGTTAGATTTCACAAGGGGGCCAGAGAGCCAGGAGAGCAATGGGGTTGCTGGAAGTGAGCCGCATTTGCGTAGCTCGGCTTTGCCATCACACACAGCCAAGCATCTTAAGGCCCTTGGAAGGAAGTCCTTAGCGTGGCGGTCCTTTGACTGGATCTGTGGAAGCAGAGTCTCCAGTCCTGGAGGAGTGGCGTGGAGGGGAAACTCAGGCCAGGGAGCCAACCGTGGCCCTCTTGGATGGATATATATATCCTTTCCCCATCCCCTTCCCCACTGCTGCCAATCCTTTGCTGGTTTGCTGGCTTCTGTACATTCTGAAAAGTTGAAATGCACTTCTTAAGATTCGGCCACTGGCAGGAGGCCCTGTAAGCTATAAGGTGTGTGTGTGTGTAATTCTGTCTGCCTGTCTTTCTTGTATTTAACCATCTCAGTAATTGTCAGTCAGTAGTTCCTGCATTTCACGCAGACTGAGTGTGTATACAGAACTGCCCATCTGAGGTTCACATTTCATGCTGTTGATGAAGTGCTTTGTGTGCGAAATATTAGGCCAGAGGGAATGGATTTGTCCTTAAGGTGCTGCGAGAGTACTGTTGTTAATGTGTTCAAAAGCATCAGTGGAATGCTCTAGGGTGGCTAGAGGCGCGAGGCTGCACGTGGTCGCTAACGCTATGTTTACAGAAGCATCCTTCAGGCATTTCCGGTAATGTCTCCAAAATGTATATAATTTGCCTCAAGAACTCTGGATAAATGTACATCCAAGTATATTCTGGTTATTGAACAAGAGTAATCACCAAAGTCCTTAACATTGTTAATCAAAAACATGCATCGCATTTTTAAAACCAAGCTTTATTTTTAAAATTAATCTCCATAACCTTGTTAGTGTTTATTATTTTTATCATCCCCAGAAAGTTACTGCAGTCTTTCCTAACCTGATACCCTCCAGCTGCATTGAACTACAATTTCCATCATCCACAGCCTGGCAATTGGTAGCCTGTCGTCTGCCCTTACTCAGGTTTATGACCTCCACATGTTTTGCACTACAGAACCCTAACCCTAATAGTTAGGGTTATGATCCCTAACCATTGACTATGTTGGTTAGGGATGATGGGACCTGTAATCCAACATATCAGGAGAGTTCCAGACTACCGGCTACCAATGTCTCTATATATAGTCATCCCACTTGGACATCCCACTTGGATGCCCAGTATGTGGGACTGCCTTTGAAGACGGTCCAGACTCTGCAACTTGTTCAAAACCGGGCAGTGCAGACCCGGCCTGGCACGTGAGAGCACGTCACGCCGGCCCTCCACAGGACACAACGGCTGCGGGTTGCCATCCAGGCCCAGTTCAAAGCGCTCACAGTAACACACGAAGCCAAATGGCGTGGGGCCAGGCTATCTGAGGGAGTGCCTCTCCCCATACATGCCCTCCTGGTCACTCTGGTCTCCCTCTGAGGGCCTCTTCTGCATCCTTCCCCTGCTGAAGGGGGGGGGGTGAGATGGGCATGCTCCTGCATTGCACCCCAACTATGGAATTAAATTCTGTACGAGATTAGGTTGGCACAGCCATTATATTCTCTTAGACACCAGCCGAAGACCTTTTTCCCCTGCAGGCCTTTTGGAAGGTGAATCTGTTGAGCTTTGCTTTTAATGTATTGTTTAATATTGATTGCTGCTACCATTTTATAATTTTTATAATTTTATATTTTATGACTGTAAGACTTATGGATTGTGCTTAATTATTTTAGTACTGTTGCTGTAACTCTGCTTTATGCATCATTCCCCTTCTCCATTTATATCAATTTATCTTATTTAATTTTTAATTATTATTATGAATAGTTATTCTTTATTTGGTATTATTGATTTTATTGTTGTTATTGCTTTTATTGCATTTGTTGATTTTATTCTAATGCTTTGTGGCACTGATTATATGTAGCCTGCCCTGAGAGTCTATGGCTAATCGAGCGGCATACAGATCAAATAAATAATAAATGAATAAATATGGTAATTTAACTGAAAGAAATTCACTTCTGTTTGCCTCAAAGTGTCAGAGGAGGAGGAGAGAAATGGCTGGTCTCTAAAAATAAGTTGAAGTTTATGGTAGGAACCAATTTAGACCCTTGGCCCAGCATGGCTCGCAAACGGGTTTCTTTATTGGTTCAAAATCTAATGCTGGTTCTGTAACTGGCTTTCCGTTGTCGCCACTACATAAACAGGGTGCCCACAAATCACATATCGGCCACCGGTCTGGAAAGATGACATTTACATTTGGCATACTTGCCTCCACCCACATCTCAAAATATGCCGTCTCCATGGACGGGAGCGGCAAGCAGCATTCTCTCCCTGCACCCCCACATCCCGTGCAATTGGATGGAGCAAATATATTCCGTTGGATTATATACACCGAAAGAAAAGAACAGAACTGGCTGGCTGCATGCACACTCCCGAATGGCTCCATCTCAGAAGCTGGAGCTACTAGAAGCTGGAGCACAAGTTACTAGGACTTTATTGGTCTTGCTAGTGTCACTGTGCGTGGTCCTAGCCAAAAGTCAGCATCTGTGTCTGTTTAACTAGAGATCAGGGGATTATAAGCAGCAGTTAAACCTAAACAAAATTAATTCATCCCCAATTCAACAGTTTGAACATCTTAGCATCCTGCAGACTCACTCCAACTCTCTCTCCCATCAGTGACCTTTTAGATTTGACTTACCAAAGGAGAATATATATGCCCATGAGAGATTCATGAAACTGAAGGTTTTTAAAAGTGGTGGAGATTCACCTCCCTGCCACCACAAAATGGATCAGAGCTACAAACTGAGCGCACTGCAGCCTAGAAGTTACCTGCTAAAGATGCAAGAGAAATTGCTCAATTTACATTATATTGCAGTCTTGTCTCATTTCATACTTCTTTACCTCTGTGCAAACTTTATACTTCTCCAGATTTTGTATTGGAGTTGTCCAATCAAGCAAGGTATACAAAAATCCAAGAATTGGTAGAAATAGCATTAAAATTGATATATTAGGAAAATGTATGAGGTAAAAGACATGCATTAGGATATATCCACACAAAAACTATTATGAATTTTCGTATTTCACATTTAATGAAAAGTTAATTTGGAGCTTAAGATTTTTAAAAATGAGAAACTGAGAAAAACTGAAAGGGACAGATTTGCCCATACCAACTTGTAGGGTAAGTAATGTGCAAAAATAGCAAGCACAAGGTTCAGCTTTTCCTAAGGCTTCTCTATGCAGCTTGAGGTGCCCCCAGTTAACATCCCATCCCTTGTCTTACATATCTCCTCCAGATGAATCGTCATGCAAACATTTCCCCAAAAACAGCTCCTTTTATTTATAAAGCCTGTAACTTACCAGCTGTGCAGAAGAGCAGAGCAGAGAAACCCAGGAGAAAGTATTTGTTCATCTTGATAAATTTCACAAGGGAGAAAGGGACTGTGTGGCGATGCCGAAGGACTGGGGAGAAGAGGAGAATTCAACTCAACTGTGCAACGAGGACTCTTCTGAACAGAGGTTCAGATGGGAGGTATTGGGGTCAAGAATTTATCCCCATCAAGGCACTGGAAGCAGCCAATGAGATGAAGGATGAGGATAACAAGAACACCCAAGCTTTGGACGGTGAAACCAAGGTGTATAGATGATGGCATTGGAATGCTGTTGCAATCCAGGTTGCGGTACAATTCCATTCCTGGTGGATTCGAGATCCTCCTGTGCCCAGGACTCTGCCAAGAAGCAGCACCTGCAATCTTATTGTCCTGATACAGCAGAAAGACGTATTAGGTCAATATCTGGATTTAAGCACGGGAAAATACTGCTGGGTCAATTGTAGCTACACTGAAATTGCAAGTGCATAAACATCAAGCAAGACTTGTCTTTGGCTGAACGCAGGATGTCCCACACCATGTACAGAAGAGAAAAGGCTCCCAGGCTGAAATGTGGTAGCACAGACCTCCCTATCCTAGAGCCCTCCAGACATGGTAGACTACAGCTCCCAGCATTCCTGGCCATTGGCAACACTGACTGGGACTTATGGGAGTTACAGTCCAAAATATTTGGGGCGTGCCCCTGGAGGATGTCTGTTGTAGCATGAGTGAATTGCACTCCAGGTGGAATGATGCCTATTTGTCCTTGACCAGCAGCAGAAGAGGCTGGCAGCCTGGAACCCGCATCCCAACCGCAGCTCCAGCAAATGGTGCAAAGACGGGTCCAAGGCCTAGTGGTCAACCAGCCTGCTTCTTCTGGTGCAGGAAGGGGGAATGCTATGCTTCGCTGCCGTCTTGAAGCAGTGGCGAGCCATTTCAGCCTCGGAGCAGCCTCAGCATACAAGCATACAAAAGTAGTTTGGATCCTGACTTCATCAGACTCTTTTAAAAGAGACCCGGTATATGGGCATTAAGCTTCTTTTTGCCTGAAAATGAAATTTATTTATTTGAAGCTTTTATATCCTGTCCAACTAGTTCAGAGGTGCCCTTGGGGGGCCCAGAGGTGACTGGGGGCAAAGGCCAGAGGAGCATGGGCAAGGAAACAGCTGCACAAAAGCCAGGAAGCCACCAAATGGACTGTGGTGGGGGTGAGGGCTGGATATTTGTTTGTTTATTTATTTATTAAAAGTTTTTCTACGCCATCCCATTCATAAAAAAGCCTCTGGATGGCTTACAAAGAACAAAAACCATAAGAACAACGCATATCACACTGCATCTAAAAATAGTGATAAAACCAATTTTACCAGACGTCGAACTAGATGGCCCGGGAGGCCCCTTCTGACTCGCTCTGTTCCTATGTTTCTATGTTAAAATACCAGGAAAATAAAAAGGTCTTCACCTGGCGCTGAAAAGAATAGCGCGACAGCACCAGGAGAACCTCCGCAGGGAGCTCATTCCTAGGAAATGGCCCCAGGCTTGGGGTTCTGCACCCTGGCCTAGGATAATCCTTGGACATATGCTAGTACTGACTAACCTCAAATAGGTCTATTCAAGGTATGTCTAAGTCTGGCTGCAGCTCATTGTGATTAAAGGACCTGTTCATGTGCATTAACGGATTATCTCAAAATAGTCTTGTGTTTATAGCAACAGAATTGCTCCTTTTGATGTAATTTGTTTTTCTTCCGATAGCCCGATGAAGAGTTTCTTTGAGGAGTCGATCACCCACATAAAAATAGCAGCATCTTATGAAATGCGCTCCCCAGAGAGGTCCACCTACTGCCGTCGCTATTTGTTTTTCGGCACCAGGCCAAGACCTTTTTATTTAAACAATATTTTAACCATTGTTAATATTATTTATTGGTTTTAACATTTTTATAGCCAGGGTGAATCCAGATTTTATATGTATCTATTTATATGAGTGTTTATTTATTATGTTGGAAGCCGTCCCGAGGCTTATGCGAATGGGACGGCTTACAAAAATTCCAAATAAATAAATCAATCTTTTGTTATCTCAGAAGAACGTGAGGTTGGCCCATCAGAAGATCAGATCTTCCCATCCTACTGGGAAAAAATGTGGTTCTATGGATTTACCCTCAAGCACTGGCTGGGTTCACATGTCCCGACAAGAAACACTGCATGGTTTCCATGGCGTGCGGTTCTTTTTCAGGAGGCACCTAACAGATGATTAAGTGGTTTCTATGCTGCACGCGGTTTCCACCCTCCTCACTCAGTCCTCCCGCTGTCAACACGTACCCCGTCAGCCACCATGCCCAAAATTCAATTCTAATGTCGTGAGCTAGGCGTCCCCTCCCAAACGAGACGAGCAGTTCAGCAAGCATTAAAAGAGTCTTCATTTCAAACAGCGACAAGCCTCGAAGCACACACACCGGTGGAAAGTTGACCTCTTGCTCAGACCTTATTCACCCAAAGCTTTGTTTGTGAACCGTTCGGGGCTGGTCTCTGGAGGGGGGCGCACTATGGAAGCGGGCGCACCGACGTTCTTCCCATTGAGCCCCTAATTGGTGGGTGCGTCAACGGGCCCTTGTGTCCACATCTCCTGGGGTGTCAAGTTCTCCGCCCGAGAACGCCCCCCCCCCCAGCCTGTTCTCTGCCGGCTTCCTTCCCACAATCAGGAGGGAGGAGGGCTCAGTGGCTGTCCTTGAAGTGCTTTGAGGCAGAGCTGGCTTGGGCTGGCTCACCGGGAGAGTTTGGGCAGCCGAGGCCTCGCTAATCTCAACACCTCCAATGTCAGAGTGAGGACTCTGAGCCAGGACTGGGTCAGCTCTCCACTCCCCCTCCTCCAGCTCTGAGCCGTCGTTCGCACCAAAGCCGTCCTTCTCTCGCGCGTGCCTGGGAATCTCATCCGAGCGCACGCACGACACCTACATTGGGTGAGTGGAGCGATGCCTACAGCAGCCGCCCCCTTTCAAGAGAGCTCTGTGGAAGCTGCATGCTAGGTCCTTGGAAGCCACAAGGCCAGTGGGGACAGCCAGAGAAGCCCTGATGAAGTGTGGAAAATGTGCAGCTGTATCTTATTGTGGTTTCTCAAAAGCAAAGGCACAATGCTGAAATGCCACAATGGGGTTCAGATGACAATGCAGACCATCGGACATCCTATTATGGCTTGGCGTGCCGTGGAAACCCATCCATTGAGTTGCAGTCATAGTGAGAGGAGTCTCATTCAAATCAGTGGAACTTATATAAGTCAGGAATGGTCCATTGATTTCCATTAGTCTGCTGTAAGTGGAAGCGGGAGAACAGACGCCATCGTGCTGGCAGGATGCAGAATCACAGGATCATAGAATAGTAGGGTTGGAAGGGGCCAAGAAGGCCACTGGGGCTGCTCCACATTCACTCTTCCACCTTAGTTATACTCCACGAAGGAGGAAAAAGCAGAATTGCATGTCTCTTGATAAATGGCACTAACAGCCGGGAAGATGCTCCTGAGCCACGGTTCCACAGGGATTCTCTTTAAGATGCATAAGAAATTGGTTTATGACCAGAATTTACTTTGTTCACACAGAAGGCAAGTGCAAACACGAGACAACCTGCAGTAGGATCTCATGCATTCCTGACCTTGGAACTGGAAGGCAGGGTTTGGGGAATGTGTCTGAAAAATGCATATATTAGGAAAATGCATGTACATATAAAATGCATGCAAATGCGTTTAATCAATGGGAAAAGATTGTACCCAAGTATTTAGCCAGACAAGCCCCTGAGTACCTGACAATTTTCATGAGCTCGGGGAAAAAAAGCTTGCAACCTGACTGAGACTTGCATTGCCATGAGCTTTGACATGAAACTTGTGACCCTTGGTGAGCTTTGCTGATTTCCACATCCCTACCCCCCCCTCCCAATCACACACCTTGTTCCCAGTATTAAGCTACTCCAGACAAATTTTGTCATACATTCCTGGGTGCAAATTTTAGTTGGTATTCCTTTGTTTGTCCTTCACACTGGCATATGGCATATGTGAACCTATGTAAATAGGATCTGTCCAAACTTGCACGGCATTAGGTGTGCCTTTCTCATTTGGCGTCCTATCCCTCATGACACCCCGAAGTCATTTGATCCAAGTTTACAGGAACTGAATGTCACACCCTACAGATACACCCTCATGTTCTTATCCATGCATACTCTAACTCCCACTCCCTGTTCAAAAATAATAGAGCTCACATGGTGAAGTTTAAGTAGTTCCATGCACCCGCCTCTCTCTCTCTCTCTCTCTCTCTCTCTCTCTCTCTCTCTCTCTCTCTCTCTCTCTCTGTGTGTGTGTGTGTGTGTGAGAGAGAGGGAGGGAGGGAGGGAGGGAGGGAGGGAGGGAGAGATTTCCAAAGAGGCAACCTGATATCCCTTGCTGGTCATGGGAAAACCAATTAAATACTTAGCAATAACTTTTGGATTCACTGAGATCTTTGGTAGCTTCACATTCCCTCTGTCAATTTCACACTGTTCTGTGATGGGTGTGTGCAGGACAGAGCAGCACACCTTTCTGCAAGGAATGGGTACATTCCCTGGAGATATCCTGGGAGCAGCCCATGGCATGTGTGCCCAGTCCTGGCCAGGGTCACCGTTCAGATCGGGCCCCAGGTGAGATGCCGGAAGCAGCCTTCCCTGCTCACTTTGCGCCGTGCCTGAGCAATTGCCCCAGGGCTGGAGGCTCCTTATTGCAAAGGGACCCCGCCAGAGGGCAGATCTGCCACAGTCCTTGTGCATCTGCTAGCTACGGAAGGGTCTCTTTTAAGAGGTGGAAAGAAGTCAAAGCAGAGCTCTGCCTCGGAGCTGGTAAGAGGGCAGTCTTTGGGTTGCGCCCACAACAATTGTGCTCACCCAAACTCAGAATATGAGTATTCTGTGCAGGCATCTTTGCTGCCCTGCCCTCTTGCCTTGCATTTTTTGTTACACAGGCTTTTTTACCCAGCTGGGGAGTGTTGGAGGATGAGAGATGGAGCTGCAGAGGCCCAAGGATAACGCCTATCCTGGTCTTGCCAGTCTCCTCCCTGCCCACCAAGATACCCCCCTTTCCCCTTTTCCAAGCTTGAATTCCCGATCTTGAAGGGCAGCCTCACTGACTGTGAGTGAGAGGGGTGTTGGAGCTCTAACTCCCCCTTCCAAAGTTAGAGCTCTCCCTCGAGCCTCAGACTGAGGAACATCCTCTGGCTGCCCAGATGCTGTCTTGGAGGCCACAGGATCATTCCCTCCATCTATTAAGGAGGGAGATTTCGATGCAGGTCCCACCTGTGCTCATATGGTGCCATCAGCAGATGTGGCACTTTATGGTACAGGGCAGCCTGACTTCCAGTCCTATGGGAGGTACACACTGAATTTCAATGGTGGCAAATTTGATAAGCTTAGTTTCTGCTCAGATGAGGTTCCTTAGACCAGATTAATTAATGGAGCTGCATCGAAGTGTCACATAAATGCAAAATTTGTCAACAGTTCAGAACTACGATGTTTTGTTTTGGAATTGTGCATTTCTGGGGTATATTTTTAAAAGAAAAACTAAAACCTGTAACAGTTTTGAAAGCTTATCTCAGGTTGGATGCAGTTGATAGGTGTGGATTTAGCAAATCTCACCTTGCTAATTTGGTCATGATACCTGCCTTCCCAGGGCACAATTCCGGGCATCCGCATAGGTACTGCTAGCCGTGTTCCTGAAATCGAGCAGGGAGCGATTGGGGAGGAGCAGAGTCCAATCTCAACGACTGCGAAATTACTTTCTCGGTCCTGGGCCTTTCCCCTCCCACCCACACTCCCTCCAAAATGTTAGTCATAGTTCTTCCTATGACAACAAAGTGTATAATGACTGAAACATTCCTTAATTAAGGTAGGTCTAATTAGCTGTAGACAAAGTTGCAGAGGTTGCACAAGCAAATGAGTTTCGCAGAACGTCCAGCTTTCCATTAATGAAGATGAGGCTGCTCTGTGTACTCCTGCTCTTGCGCCACTCTCGGGTAAAAGGTCCCAGCTTTAACTGTTCTTACAACCCATCACGTTGTGCCTGTACGTGAAAAATGCTAACAGCGGCCCTTCCCTAGGAGTCTCTCCCATCCAAGGAGGCTGCAAGGGCGGCAACAAAGGAAATGGCCTTCTCCGTGGTGGCCCCAGTCACGGGATGCTCTCCCTAGTGAGGTTCCCGGCATGCGTATTGTCATGCTTTCCTTTCCAAGGGAAGACTTTGCTCTAAGCTCAGTCCTGGGACCTTTTACTGTAGCTTGTATGCGAATAGTGTCTATGTTACGTTTTATATTGTATTCTAAGGGTCTGGTCCTTTGCATGCTGCCCAGAGAACTTTAGCTACAAAGCAGTATCCCAGTGCAGTGGAATCTGCGGAGGGGCTGTGACTGGCCCCTGACGACCGGCTGAGCTTCACAGCAGGGGGGCTGCTTGAAATGGAGCATTGGTCCATTCCAAGCTCAACACTCCCACAAACAGATAGGTGAATGCTGATAAGAGCAGGTAAATTAAAAGCAATTCCTCTTTTACATTGCAAAAGAGGGATTGCTTAACTACAATAAGAACCATTTGGCAGGGCATTTGGGCAGATGAAACTACACCGGACAAACACAGTGCAGGAGCAAGCGAAACCATTCTGAACAAGCCTCTCTGCCAGTGCCGAGTGAGAGGGCAAGCAGGAGTGGCGCATGGGTGCCCCAGAGCCCCTACTTAGTGCATTGCACATCTGTGCACCTGTTGCATGCTGTGAGCTCTGTGCGATGCTCACTTTCTAGTCATATTTATACTGCACTTGTAATACTTCACACAGCTCACAATATCAGAAAACCACCCCAGAGCACTAACGCTGGTTACATGCACAGTGGGGCAGAGATGCACAGCTGGCCCGCTGTGGTTTCCCCAAACCCCTGTTGCTGGACAATTTAGAATGACAGAATCATATAGTTGGAAGGGGCCAGAAGGCCATTGAGTCCAACTCCTTGCTGTTGCAGGACACCAAGTTACACTAAATTCCTGCCTTTCCTGAAGTTTTTTTTTCCATTTGAAAGGTTGGAATGCCTCTCCTAAGGCCCTCCCAGCAGGAGCATGAAGGTAAAATATGCTGCTGTTTTGATCATTTGTCCACACCCCTCTTTCCTCTGACCCAGCCCACACCAGGAATGTAGAGCCCAAAAGCTCCTCCAAGGTGGAATTGAGCCCATAGGCTGAAAGCGACTCATTGCCCCTGCAGGGGAATCCGGGTGCTGCTGCTCCGGGTAGGGGAGCGGGGCGAGCAAACCCAGCCACTCTCCACCCACTTGGGACTGCCAGCCAGTTCCTCTCCAGGGCTTTCTGGGGATATGCAGGCTTGATCCTGGTATTTTTGAATTTTACTGATTTATTTGATTTCCATTCTGCCCAATTTCATTGTCCAGCTCCAGGTGGAGGTGACCGAAGCCAGCCTTTGCCCCCGCTATGCCACGCAGCTGCCCCAGTTGCAACGCCTATGCGAGTGGCCATTGTTATTTGCCCTTGCGCCCAGAGCTGCCATTCGATCTACCATCCGATGGGTGTTGCTAAGAGCAGAAGCCCTGGGAGGAAGTGCGTGGCAGCTGGAATTCCCTCTTTCAACCTGTCCTTGCAAAGCTGCAGCACAGTCTCTCACAGTATACTTCTACTCTTGGCAAAGTGTTGGTTGTATGCTGGTCAGGGAAAGAACACTACCTATAAGTGAGTGTAAAAACCCATGGCTTGTTTAACTAAAAAGGTCTTCAGCAGGTACCAAAGACAAAGCATTGCTAGTGCCTGCCAGAAATCAACAGGCAGGGAGTTCCATAGATGGGAAGCCAAGACTCCAAACGGACAACAAACGGACAACCTGTTCAGGCAGAACCAGCAGAAGTGCTGGATCAATGGTGCCAGCCACCAATGTGGAGAGGCTTAAAATGGGATTGGACGTGTTCGTGGAGGCTTCGCCTATCACTGGCTACCTCAAGTATCAGGACAACATGCTTAGGTACACCGGATGCTGGAGAACTGGTGGGTTTCCCTAACTGGTGGGTAGAGACCTGTTCTCCCCTGCAGAGGAGGGCAGGATGCGCCCCAACAGAGCCAAGCTCAGGGAACCCAGGTTTACCTTGGATGCCAGGAAGTACTTCCTGACAGTTAGGACCGCGAGGGTGTGGAATGGGCTTCCATGGGAGGCGGTTGAGGCCCCATCGGTGAGCGTGTTCAAGGATCGGCTGGACGTGCACATGGTGAGCATGTCATGAATGGAGCCGGCTGGAGCCAGGGGTCAGACTAGATGGCCTGGGAGACCCCCTCTGATTCACTCTGTTTCTATGTTTCCATGGGCAGCTGGCGGATGACTGTGAGCAGAATGCTGGACTAGATGGCCCCTGGTCTGACCCAGCAGGACTCTTCTTGTGTTCTTAAGAGGACTTCCCTGCTCCTCCCTCCTGTGGCAGCCACTCTCTCCCCTTGGAAGGCAACACTGGGTGAATACAGGGAGCTGATCTTCCAAAGCTGGTAGAGGTTCCAAAGCTTTTCCTCTAATGGAAACTCCCTTCACTTTGCAGACCCTGGACCTCATCCACGAACCAGCTGGGGCTGGGGTCAGAAAAGGCTGCCAATCGGGGCGGAGGGGGCTTTGCTGGGTGCAACTACCTGCCTCCCAGTCATGGAATATCATGGCCCATTTCCCTGTGCCTTTCCGACATCCCTCTCTCTGCTGCTGCATCTCCACTTCTCTCATTTAGTCATGCCTCTCCTCCCCTGACGCAACCATTGGCTCCCTTCACTTGCCTTCATGAGCATAAAGCCTTCATCCTGGCACCTCCCATCTCCAAATCTGCTCATTTCAGAGCTGAGCTGGGCATCTTTGTTGTGTTTATCTCCTCACCATTTTCACAGGAACATTCCTCAGTGTTTCCTCTCTCTCTCTCTCTCTCTCAGCATTTATCAAGATGAGCAAGTATCTTCTCCTGGGCTTTTCCATTCTGATCTTCTGCACAGTTGGTAAGTGTTGCATTTTTTTTTAAAGGGACAAGGGAGAATAAGACTTTGGAAAAGTTTGCATGAATATATAGCTGGAAGAGTTGTATAAAAGCTTACACAAGGATGTTAATCTTTTTTCTTTACATGCCATGCTAGGATGCCTATTTACATTTTATGGGCAAGGAAAATGCTGAAGCCTCTGCTCACTTGTCCCACTTCCCCTGCCCCCTGACAGTCCATGTGTGGGGAGAGGAGAAAAAAACTGAGCTACAGCTGGCTCAGTTCATGTGGAGGTGCTGATGGTGGAGTTAGCAGTGCACTGGCTAAAACTTTGTCCTCGGTGCAGTCGTTCTATCAATGCACGTGTGTGTGTGAAATCCCAATGACCAGGGTGGTACTAGCTGCTGAAAAGGGCCCCAGAACAAAAATGCAACATGCATATGTTAATTTACATGGGCTCTAATTTTTCTGTGCATGTGTACCTGTTAAGGCCCCTGTGGACACTCCTATTTGTAAAAAGGGGCCTGTGGGCAGGGGAAAGGAGGGAATTTGGTTTCGGGGAGGGGGGAGAAACAGCCCCCAGGCAGAAGGAGCTGAAGGGAAGCTCCCATGGGGAAAAAGCCAGAGAATCCCTGAGCTGGCAGGGCGCAGGGTCGGGTCTGATGCCACAGAGTTCATCAGGGCTCTCATTCCTTCATTTCAGCAAGTGCTTATGGACAGGTGGCGATGGGGCAGTTCAACTCCCAGAGATGTGGGGCTCTGAATGAAAGACCTGGGCATTTGTTTCAGCCCTAGAGAGCTGCCTCCAGGTACTGCCTTTGCAAGGAATCTTGAACAGAAGGGGATTTGACATGGGTCAGAGCTCACTTCTGAATTAGAAAGCAAGCCTTTTCCCCCTTAGAAATAAAAATTGGTGGTTTAATTTTACAGGTGGGAAGTTTCAATGGAGTCTCACTTGAGTTTCTGAATTTGCCAAAAGCAATCGCTCTTTTTTGCTGGTTTCTCAAAAGCAGCTCTTAGGGGCTTGTAGGCGGAGTTACCACAGTTCTGGCTCTTTCTTTTGTCCCATGAAATTCAACACAAAGGATCTGTTCTGTTCAATTGTTTAGTACAAAAGAAGGGATTGGACTCAGAAAAGAATAAATATGGGAAGCAGGGGAAGAGAGATGGGATGTTCTGAGTTGTAGTTGGAGATCAGTGAATTAACTGCACTGGGTGTGTGGAGCCGCAATAGCTACAAGGCAGTTGTTTAAAGAGTCACTGATGCGCCATTCTATCTTGGGCAAATTAAGAAACTAACGCATCAAGCCATGATCCATAACTTCTAGAACAGCACATGTGATCCTTGCTGGGAGGAGACCCTTGTTTTTAATGAGAGGAGCAAGTTGCCGACCTTCATCTTCACCTTCACCTTCACCCTCAGCCCGACCTCAACCCCATTTTTGAGCTCAACTGAAACAGTGGTTATGGGGCCTCAAGGGACATTCTTGCTTTTGAAGTGAATGGAGAATCATGGGAAGATGTCCACAGTTCATCCTGCAGGCAAGAGCAGCCTTCCCTAAGAAGGTGCCCTCTGGCTCTTTTGGACCACAGCTTCCAATATCCCTAGCCAAACAGTGAGAGATAATGGGAGTTGTGGTCAAAAACAATGGGAGGCACCCAGTTTAGGGAGGCTGGTCTAGAGGGCGCAGATGAAAGAGATGGTCTTCAGTCATTGTGCAGAAGAAGTCATTCCAGCGAGGGTCCTGCAGGTGCAGGGCCGCTGGCTGCTTCTGCATGCGAATAACCCACCCATGACTTGATGGCCTTTTGGACCCTCAAGAATGATGATTGCCCCCGACCGCTTGAATGGACTGGATCTGCTTGCCAGAAGTGGAGTGGGGGTTGCAGCGTGGTGTCTCTCCAGGGCGAGGTTCCCCTCCGCCCCAGTGCTCATCCCGCTGTCCCACTGCCACAGCCGCAACCGCGCACATCCCTCGGCAAGGAGGCGTCACCAGCATTGTTCCCAGCTCCTTCGATCTACGTGTTTTCAAAAATATACCATGAAGGCTTTGAGAGGATGACTTGCCCATTTTGCCAGAAGCACCGCTACCGGCTTCTTAGCGCACCACACCCAACCCTCAGTGGAGAGCCTTGGATTTTGCAAGAGCAGCACCTGAGCTTCAGAGCTGGGGAAAGTTATTACTCCACACATCACCCCCACCCACTTGCTCATCCTGTGTCACGAAGCAGCAACTGCTATATCCAGTGTGACTGGATGGGGAGCACTGGTTGGGGTGTGGATTCCTGGATGTGCTGGAACAGTTCAGGAGACCTTTGAAGCTTCTCAGAGCAGCTCCTTCCAGGAGGCTTTCAAAGCCAGGGGAGAACGTGACGTGGGAAAGGGGGAAGATGCAATTCAACACTGCGGCAGAACTCCTGCCTCATGCAAAGCTCCTTCATGACTGCCTCACAAACAAGGATGTTTGGCCTCCGGGGAAGGGAGGACAAGGAAGTGAGAAGACCAGCACACAGAGCTGGCCCCACCGCTAGGCAGAGTGCCTGATGGTACTGGGGGCAGATATGGGGGGGAGTGGTAAGATGTTGAAGGAAAGACCCCTGCTCTGTGCCCCCAGGTGAGTCTACTGCCCTGGGGAGACCATGCCATCACCAGGGTCAAGATAAGGTCCATGGGCCAGCCCAGCCAGGCTCGGCCTGTAAAATGGAAGCCCCACTCTGGCCTCGGGGCCAGGCAGTCACATGTCTTGATATTCCCTGGAGAAAAACCCGTCTCCCCGCCTGGTGTCCTCACTGGACCAAAAGCAGTGGGATCTGCTCGGCTGTTCTTCAGACAACATGTTTAATTTCATTTTATAGTGCCCAATAGCCAAGACTCCTGGGTGGTGAACAAAAGATGAGAAAATTTTAAAACACAGGCACAAGCACACATATGATAAAATCAGTGTAAAACGGCACTTAGGGTGAACACTGAAAAGAAGGCCCTGATTATAAGAATGATTTGCCATCCGATAATTTGCATAAGGCGCTCGCCGGAGCACTTTTGTAAGAATTCAAAAGAGCACAAGCACTAGTTGTAATCCAGGCAGCAAGGCGACTGGTAGTGAGAATACCTGGTCGCAGGATGAAGGACGCCTGCTTTGCCAGCAATGCACGGAAAAAGGCATCTTGGACCTTCCGGGACCATGAGCTGATCCCACGCAGGCGGGGCAGAGCAGCCTCGAAAAGGCTCACGCAGTTCTAGACCGCTTTGCGTGCCGGTGCTGCGCAATCCTTGTCCAGGCCTCCCCTGCACCGGGAGTGCTGCACAAGAGCACCGCGTCCGGTCCTGAGCATCACCGGGAGCAGCACAGGCGTCACCACACTGGAAAGCATCCGACAAGAACTGCAGGGGTTGCAAAGACAGAGCCCCCTGGGGACAGGAGGAGCCGGATATGCTTAGCCTGGGGAAGGAATGGCTAGGGGCGAGGTGACAGCCATCTTCAAATATTTGCAGGGTTGTCACAGGAAAGATAGAGCACATTTGTGCCCTGTTTTCATACAACCCTAGAAGAGTAGAGTTGGAAGGGGCCAGAGGGCCCCGGAGTCCAACCCCCTGCTCAGTGCAGGACTCCAAGGTGAAACCGCCCTACCCACAAGACAGGGCTCTCTCCCATGGGTTCAAATGGGGAAATGCCTGACTGAATGTAGGGATACATTTCCTGGAGGCAGGGGCTGTTTGACAGCGGACAGGCAGCCTCGGGAAGTGGTGGGTTCTCCTTGTCATGTTTTGGGGTGTCATATGAGTGGATTTGATGCTGGGAAGAATGAGAAATCCACTGGGCTTTGCTTGTTGACACAAACTTAACAGAGTCACACCCTTCAAACCTCCTAAGAACTGAAAGGCAGCTTGCTTCCACAATCCATACATTGCTGAAATTTGCCATGAAGTCTGCAAAATAACTCACTAATAAATATATTTTTTTAAAGAAATGGACACAAAAATGAGTATGAAGAGGTAGGCTTTCTAAATACACAAACGCTAAATGCTCCCTTCACTAGGAAATGGATTTAAAATACATAATTTTCAAAGACCATGCAATGAAATTCATACACATTTGTGGGGTTGGAAAAAAAAATCTGAGGCAGAAATTAGATGGAATGAACTTAAACATGAAAAAAGAGAACCCAAGTAAAACTGATTTGCCTACTCCCACTTACTGCATGTTTCAGTGTACTGAAAACCACCCACTTTCCAAACCGCCTGGGTCGAGAAACCTAACCTCTTGCTCACTTGTTCTGCTTTCGTTTTGCTCAATCTTCTCTTGCTGAAAAGTTGGTTGGGGGTGGGGTCCCACTATGGGAGTAGATGGAAAACATTCACAGGTCTTCACAGGTTGGGAACGTCCATCGCCTGGGAATGTTCTGAGCAGTGTGCCAGACTGTGCCTGGTTCCACCATTGTTTAATCCCAGCCTGCCTCATGCATTCTCTCCTGGAGCATCCTCAATGATCCTATTATGCAGGGCTTCAAAAAAATGACTCTCACAAATGTGTACACATTATTTAGAGTGGCACTTGTTATTACTCCTAAAAGCGATTTACTTCTGCTATCCTAAGTATAAAGTGATGTACAATAGGCCAAAGGACACAAATAAATCCCACGTTTTCATATACATGAATTGGATCCTGATTCAAGCCGGACCAACTGTGTGAGTGGAAGAGGATTTTCCAGCCCCCTCCTTCCCAAGGCAGCCTCCCCACCCCTCTGAAAATGCTACACAGAGGCTGGGTCACACAGCATGACAACATAAACTCAAGACTTGTCTGGGTTGTCACTGAACCATCAGTGTTTGTTAAAATCTGGCTGTTGTCAACTTTAAAGAACTCACAGAGAGAGCCTCTTGGCCTTTGGGTGGTATAAAAATGAAATAGATTCATACATACCTTCATACATACGTACACCCAAGTTTTAGGACTGGGTTGTGAATCAGGGGGTGATCCTAGCTCACAAGTCGTGTTTTGTTGGCATGGCTGGGTTCAAATGCCAGCCCACGCTCACCCCATGCTCTGGGTTGCCCTGTTGTGTGAAGCCAGAGGCAGGGACTCTTCTGAATAGGGTGAGCTGTGATGGGCAGGGATTCCAAAATCTGGGTGGTGGGACCTTCCATACCGGGAGCCCTTCCTCTCAAGGGTGTTCTGTTCTTCCTGTGGAAGGCAGGTCCTAGATCCAACTCACTGAGTATCCAGGAAAAACAGTTGTGGGTTGGTGTGTGTGTTTTAAGGCAACTGAAAATAACAACTTGGGACAAGCTACGTGTGTCACATGGGAGCAAGTTGTGGTTTATGACAAAAGAGACTGAAAAGGAAATTAGAGCTGTACCAAAGCCCGCCCCTGCTTTCATCAAACTCTTTGTTCCCTGCAAAAAAAGCTATTGTTTTTTTCCACTTCTTTTGCTGGGAAGAAAATTTTCAATAACTTTCTCACTGGGAGGTGGGGCCCATTTTCCTTTTACGGCTAGGAGATGTCAGAGAGTTCTCCTTTCTACTTGCATGTGAATGTGTGCTTACTTTAAAATATAGAAAAGGAGAGCCTTCCCTACGCAGCACCACAGGCCTCCCAAGACAGAGGCATTCAGGGCTACTTGAAATGCCCTGGAGTCCACATCACATGGAATAATCCAGGCAAAGATCCTCACGTGGTGCCTGCAATCAGAAGACTTTAAAAGGAGCTTTTCTCCTTTTCGTGGCTAGATTAATTGTGCAGTCCAGGCCAGCCCCTCTATTCCACCCAGCTGTATTCAAGCAGAGGAATGGAAGAGACAGGAGACACCCAAAGGTGGGGACTCCAGTCATCCAACCTTCTTCGTCCATGTCTCCTCTGAGATTCCTGAATACAAAGACTTCTCTTTGTATAGACCCTCTTTATATAGGGTTTTCAGGGAGAAAAGCCCATGTGGGCCACATCTGTGCCCATTTAAAAAGATAAAAATGCACTGTCCTTGTTTCTTTTAATTTGATGCCTCCAGATGGCAGCACAGAGCCATCTCTAGCACTGCGTGTGGAAACTCAACTCTGGCTGCCTCGGTCCGGTTTTGTTGGCACCCGAGGTTTTCCCACCAGAACCAATAAAACCGAAGCCACTCTGGAATGAGGCTTCCTTAGAGATATGTTTCAGACCTGAAAGTAACCTGCAGATCTTATGTCCCCAGATAGCATCTTCTGGTTTAATTTCTCTAAATCTTAGGAGTAAAGGAGGAAGTGCTGTTGAGTGGCAGGCTCATCTTCCAGTCTTGCAGCATGTTTTACCACTGGAGAAGTGTCATGGCAGCCACTACTCGGGCCACGGGCACTGGCGCTTCCAAAAGCAACCTCAAATGAGCAAAAGCATCCATTTCCAGAATGGAGCGGGTCAGCGGAGCTCGCAGAAGGGCTCCCCGTGGAGCTGACCCAGTTGGGAAATTGGCTCTTACATGGTTATTTTCAGAGGCATCGAAGCATCATTTCACACATGCTGGGCCCACAGAAGAGAAGCACCCTTTGGACGCTGCCCCAGACCAGCATGTTGCACTGGGAAAAATCGTTGAACTCATTTTCAAGCGTCACCCAATATTATAATCTTCTCAAGGAGGAAAGAACATACCTGGAAGACCAGCCATTTTCCCATTGATTGGTCATGTCCTATAGATATTTGGGCATCGTTCTCCACTCTTTGGGCTCATGGTATCCGCAAATGAAATATGCTACTGATAATACTGAAGGAGTGCAATGCTTTCCCTCAGCCAGCCAGGTACTCCAAGCTCAAGTTATCTCCCAGAGGCTATCTGCCCCCCAGGCCTGTGCACGAAGCCTCTGGGAGTACAGTCTGAAACAGTACTAAGCTCCTTTATACAGTCCTGGGAATCCCAAATTGTTCCCAAGGTGCGTGTGTGGTTAGAGACAGAACGAATCTCTAAGGAGGCCCATGCATGGATCCTTAAGTTCCACTACTGGCTAAAGATCTTTCCAGTGGGCTTCCTATCCCTATTACTGATTGCTACTTGCCACACAAAACGGAAGCTTCAGCTTCTTGGAGTCACATCCATCGGCTTAACAGCATTAGGGTACGAAAAAGCTAACATGGTAATTAAGCAGCATTGTTGGGATGCAAAGCTACAATCCATGTAAGCAGAGCCTTAAGACACCCTGAATGTAGAGATGACGAGGGAGAATTTTCACCTGCAACTACCTGTCAATTTGCATATCTCAACATTTAAGAAAACTTTTGCTAAGGCAAGATTTAATGTACTGCTCTCAGTCTTACTGGAGAGAAGATTCAAAGGGAAGCTGCAGGAGGAATGAGCGTGTCCCTGTGGGAAGGGAGAAGTAGAAACCGAAGGGCGTGCTTTGCATTTTTATCACAACTTGCAGCATTCACTTTTATCCCCCATTATGCAATGGCTCTCTGAATGGGTGGATGAGCAAAATCAAGCACCTTTAATGTCAGATTGCGACCCAAAAGTCACTACGAAAGTGGCAGCCTTTTGCATTGCTGCAATAAATCTACCCAGATTGAGATTAGTGGGCAAGAACAAATTATAATAATGCTACCTAATTTTGGGTTTAGATTCTGCTATTTCACTTATTGATTTTACTGCATTTTCATTCCTTGGGTGTTTTGTGTCATGTTTTTGCCTATTTTATTGTATTAATATTTTGCTGTTTATATGCTGCCTTTTACTGCTCTATGAGGGAAATAAAATACATCCAAGCATCCTAACTCCTCAGCCCCTGCTCCTATCCTTTGGAAACTCTGAAGTCTTCCTGCCCGGGAAAACTTCTGCACTGCATGCCATTTTCATACAAACTGAAGAAAGGGCAGACAAATCACGCGGCCCTTTCCACATGCTCTGTTGTCCCCTGTTTGAAACTGTAGGAGAAGCAGGCTGAGTGCAAACTTGTCTAACCGAAGTGGCCGGTTTTCTGAATGAAGATCTGAATCAGGGGAGGGAATCAGTGCTTACCTACGTAGTTATTTAATTTGCTTCATTATTTCAGGGTGCTTTTCAGGTTAAAGCCTCCTCATATACAGCCAAGGGTTCTGTTTCCATTTTTCTTCTCTTCTGCAGCTCAAAGTCTTGTGTGTAAAGTCTGCAAATTCAAAGTTGGCTCCTTATGCTTCAAAGATGATGAACCCTGCATAGCAAAAGAAGGCCATTTCTGTGAGACAACCAAAGTATATACAGGTGAGTCCGAAAGGAAAGATTCCTCCTTCTTTAGGATGTATCATTTGGTCAGTGATAGATTAAGGGATGAGAAAACAGCTAGGAAGGAGAAATATCTGGTGAATTTTCATGTTTTCCTCCTCAGATTCCACTTTGCTATTCCTGCACCGATACTAACTTGCTGTGCTCTGAGTCAAACCATCTCACAAAATTCCATCTCTAATATGGGCCATGACTGGAAATTTTTTTTAAAAACTTGGGAAATGTGCATTTATTGCATTATTTGCACAAAATGAACTAGTGCAATTTGTGCATATTAATATGAACAATTCGAAAGCTGAAAACTGTGCCATCCTAGTGCAATTTACAAAAACTGCAGATCCAGTTTTGTTCTAAGCCTACTTGTGGTTGCGTAAATTTTATTATTTTCTACAAACTAAAAAAAAGAAACTAAAAGACATCAATCATCAGAAACATCAGACCCTCTGGGTCAGCCCCCTATATATTTTTTTTATAGCAATCCATAAATTTATTCAACTCTACATATAGTCCTGTTTCTCTAGCCAATGATAAAAGGAGTTCCAAGTTTGATAGAAGTATGTATCCTCTTTCTCCTTCAGAGACAAAGTCAGCCTGACCATTTCAGCGCAATCCAGAATCTTTTTTAAAATCAGTTCATCAGTGGGTGGTTCTTCACTCCTCCAATGTTGGGCAAATGCAATCCTTGCCGCAGTAATTACATGTAAAATCAAACACATAGCTTGTTTATTGACATCATCAGGTACAATGCCTAGTAAAAAGACTTCAGGTTTAAATATTAAAGATTTTTGTAACATTTCCTCAAGCCATTTATGAATTTTAGCCCAATATGTTTTAGGCCTACTTGTTATTTTGCAAAAAGGAACCGTGAGGAGCCAGCTGGTGTGTGCCATGCCCTCGGGGTGGAACCACAAGCTAAACGGAATGCGGATGCTTTAGCCACCAGCTACTGGAACCCCCATCCCTAACTTTCCTATATTTTAGCTCAGCATCAGAATTTGCCCTCATACCCTCAGTGTTCATTCATTTTTGCCACAGAATTAGTTGCTGTCCTTGAGACCTTATCATGCTAGCATGATGGTTTGGAGGAAAACGTTGAAGCAATACCCTTAAAACTAAGTACATGTGAAGCCAGTCAGAGTCAGGCTGAGAACACACCTGGAAAGCTGAGCTCCATGCCGTGTCCTTTGGGTTAGACCCAGGATCTGCCTTCCACACGAGAAGGGCTGCACTCATGGCAGGAAGCCCCTTCCAGGCTTGGGGGATTCTCCCCTACCGCAAAATGTCTCCCCCCCCCCCGTCTAGCATTTGCAGCGGGTGTTGGACCAGCAGAGTGGATCCAGCTGGGATCTGGATCTAATCTAAAACTTGAACCCTCTGTTGCGGGAAACAGATGTGTCATCAGATGCAGTAGATGAAGCATGATGCACCGCTTGCCTACAGGAATGTTCTGCCATCGTCATTAACGCAGGGGGAGATTTACAAGTGGCCATGTCTCACTTGTCGGAAGCGCTACGCCCCAACCTAATGACCCGGCTGCCTAATGACCCAGCCTGCCCACTCCTGGTCTGCACAGACCAGGAGTGGGCAGAGCTCCAGATACGTTGGACTTCAACTCCCAGGAGCCTCTGCTAATATGGGCAATGGTCAGGAATGGTGGAGCCTGAAGGCTGAGACGTCTGGAGACTGATTTCTGCCCACCCCTCCTGTAGACCACTTGAATAATGGGCAGACAGAAGGACAGCACGAACCAGTGCAGTGCGGTGGCGAAAGTATTGCATGGGGGCCCAGGAGATCCGGTCCCCATTTGGCTGTGGCACCAACTGCTTGGCTTTGGGCCAGTCTCTTACTCTCTCCCTAACCCACCAATCAGGGCTGTTGCACGAAAGGGAGAGGAAGAGGAAGCTGCAAGCTGACTTTGGCTCCTTGGAGGAATAAAGGTGGGATGTAAAGAAAGAAAGAGATGAGGCGGAGACCCAACCCCAAACACTTGGATCGCCGGGGAGGCTGGTTCTCACAGAAATCCCCAGAGGGAGAGCAAGCAGGGCTTACGGTTATTTGCATTTCATATTTTCTCTCTCTCTGTCTCCCTCCCTCAGGCAACCTGATGCTCTTCACGAAACACGGCTGCACCAAGCACACGGAGCTTTGCAACAAGACCGAGCAGAGGGACAACATCTTCGACATGAGCTACAACCGCACTTGTTGTGCCTTTGACTTGTGCAACGGGGGCTTTGCCGGCAACCCCAGCAGCCCACTCCTAGCCGGCCTCAGCTTGGCACTGGGGTGGTGGCTGGCACATTAACCCTGCAGGCGGAGAGGGGTGCCCTCCTCATCCTGAGAGCAGTCGTGCCACGGCCGATCTGGACGCGAAGGCTCTCAGCATGACGGTCCCCACGCCTGCAGGGGGAACCCACAAGCGCAGGTGGTCTTGCTGGCCAGTACCGACTAACCAGTTCTAGCAGTTTTCATCTCCATCAGCGCAAGACTTTTGCAAGCAAAGGGCTCCTCATTGCCCATCGTAAGCCAGGCCACCCCAAACTACTTTGCTTTGCAACAGGGAACAATACAATGCTGCTGAGAAGATCCCATTTTTCCTAGATGCCTTGGGGATTGCAGCCAAGCTCAGAGGGAACATGGAAACCTGAGGAAAATGTTGGTGGCTGATGATGTCATTGTCCCTGCTACTCATAAGCTCTGGGGCTTTGACCCTGTGAACCCTGGTCCCTGACAGCACCACCTAAGAAGCAGTTCAGAAAACTCTCCCACCTGTGCCCTTGATCTAGGCCTCTTACCTCCCAGGGGACTCCTGATTTCCCTCCCTTATTTCCTCCCGCATGAGGAGCTGAACATCTTTCTCTCCCCTTGCAGCCATGTGGCCTCTCTTCCAGGCCTGTGCGATGTGTCGGTCTCCCAAGCCAAACGCAGCCTTCCTGCCATGTCTGGGGGCCCATCAGGAGCTCACAATCTCCAAGGCTGCTTGAAGTACCTGGGAACCAGCTTTTGCCCCAAGGGCTGCATTGGCACCCAGGGAAGGGGGTTGAGGAGGGGACAGGGCCATGGCCCAAGGGGAGGGTGATCACCTGTCCCCGCATGCCTCTCGTGCACATACAGAGCCCGAGCTGCTTCCTCTTGCTGCAGCACCTGGGAAGGCCCTGCACTTTCAGGAACCGCTGTTTCAAGCCACCTCAAGTGCCGTGGCCACTCCCAGGGGATCCAGCTTGCCTCTCTCCCCTCTTTCTTGAGCAGGAGTTTTCAGCGATGTCCCCTCCCTGGGGCCACGGTGGGCCAGGTGCTGAGGAAGGCCATCCTCTGGCACGGCCAAAGTTTGGCTTGGCGGATCGCAAGAACAGTGGCCCCTGTCTGCTCTGGCAGGGACCTCTGCTGCCCTGGTTGCTCAGCCAATATCCAGGTGCTGCAACGCTCAGAGCACTTCGCTTCAAAACAAGACAAATGACCAGGAACAGCACTTCCCACTGATACATTTGCAGGTTTTTTTCTAAAAGAGATACACAGATTTGGTGAAACATTCCGGTATAGGACACCAGTTTCAGGCACAAATAAAACTAGATGTCCTCCTCGTATTTGCTCTATTTGGATTCCAGATTGTACACGTTTTGAGCAGGGACCTGCTTTCTTGTCCTTTGTACGGAACCATGCACACTGATGCTGTTATTGAAATAACAATAAAATAATAATTATTATCTTGCAACTGTAAATTATACTACAGAAAAGAGAAAAAGGCAACACATTTCACTTTAATGTTGCATTTTATTTATTAAAAGCTTTTCTATCCCATCCCCTACAGAATGTCTTGGGATGGCTTACAATAAATGAGTTCTAGGTTTCCCTTACAATCCGCTTGTAAGATGCCAGGAGACTCCCCTCTTGGGAACAGTGAGATGTGGCAAAATTCCTCATAATCCTTTAGCCAAATACGTTGAGCCAAAGTTTGCCTCCTTGACTAACGGAAGTTGATGGGTTTCCCTCTCTGAGGCTTTAGCCGTTGCTGAGGTGGGACTCCAGCCTTGGCATCTAAAAATCAGTCTGTTGATCAAAATCCAGAAATAGAGGCAGTACTGAGTCAAAGTTTCCACCCTCAGCTTCTCTTGATGGGACACATGCAGCAGGAGGCAGCTGAACAACTGACATACAGGAAAATATAAGTGGGATCTTTCAGAGGTCCTCCATCCCATTCTTCCTACCCCCATGTCCTCAACTCCCATCTGCACCCATAAGTCAGTCATTCTGAGTTCTCACTGGGCAGTTTTGATCTGAGAGCTTTTTGCCTTAAAAAATGTAGTGCTACAGACAGGCTGGTTCTGTTTTGGCACACGAGTGATGGCAAGGCTGGTTGCAACCGCTCGATCCACCTTAACTCTGGATGTTGCCTTGGCATGGTGACAGGAGGCCACCCAACCCTCTTGGCAGGACTCTGATGCCAAAAATACTCTCGGGCAGTGCAGCCCCTGAAGAGAAGCACAGGCAATTAAAGCACGGGCACAGCCAATTCAGCAGAGGTGGGCCTGTTGCATTGCTCTTCTTTATGGACTTGGTTGCACTACATTCAAACACACTTGTACATGGAGCACACAGTGTTATTGTCGACTTCATTCTTCACATGGATGCCAAAATTAATTTTATAATCCCTTCTGCGACACATGACTTTCTGTTTACACATTTGGTTGCTAATCATTCTGGGTATGTACAGAAGATGGACTGGAGATTCTGCCTCGCAGAATTTAGTCTTTTCCAGCTGTTCACTGGGGCACAATAGTGACGGAGAACTTTCTTTAGGCCAGGGCCCATGCTGCTCCCCTGGACTAATCCAGGAATGGGGGGACCCATTCCTAGAGCTCCAGCCCCCACTCCCTCCAGTGAAAGAATTGGCTGTGTAGCCCCCCAGACTTTCTCCAAGCAGAGAGAGGCATAATACCCACGGCTCAGTGCCCACTGAGAAGGGACTCGGCTGGCACTCGAAGCATCTTCTCTAGGCACCAGCCAAGTCAGACATCTCCTTCATGGGCTGGGTGCCGGCTGAACGGGGTGATGAGCAGTGCACAAAAGGCCCCCCAGTGCCTCCCAGTTCTGGCCTGGTTGCACTGGGCACAGACAAGGGGCGGAAGAACCTCCAGCCCAGAAGTGCCCATCTCTGGTGCTCGTGTGGCTGTTTCGAAGCCTCTTCAGCCAAGCTGGCACCAGCCCACGTCTACAACTGAAGACTTTATTGTCATAGCTCAAATTACACAATCAGCTCTCCACACGTTTGTGGCAGCCCTCCCAACATATACATCCATCAGTGCAGCAAATAGTGTCTACATACGTGATTGGAAAGTGTCTGCATACATGATTGGAGCACCGCTTGGGTAAAGAAACGGTCTCAAAGTTAGCAGTCAATCAGGCCATTAATTCTTGCAAAAAATGGCAGAATTTTGCATTACAAAGTGACGGGAGATGATACCCAAGCTGTCTGGGAATGAGGCACTCGCTTTTATTGCTCCTGGATCTCCCAACAGTCAGGTTCCTTAGAAGGCCTTAGCATTAATATTATGAGAAAGCGTGTAGGGATGGGAGAGTTTTTCCATCCATTTCCTAGGCGAAGGATGAGACTTTTGTTTCAGTTTGACTTTTTGTGTGAACTCAGTAAAATGCTCAGTGTTCATACTATGCAGTATAAAAAACCCTTGCGATCTTATTGTTTTAAAAAAAATTAAATGTGAGAAAAATGTAACGGACAGGTGAATTCATCCGGGCCCAGGGCTTTCGAGTGTTCAGCTCTTAATATCTGGCTTGTGATTCTGATGCCGCCAGGGGTGCTGGCCAATTTTTGGTCCATGCTCATTGATCAATCCATTTGGTCCCATGTTTGCACTAATCAGCAGAATATTTTTAAAACATCCACACAATTTTTAGAACTCATTTTGGTTTGCATTTTATCAGAAAACGCGCATTATCTTCATTTTGGTATTTTTTTAAAAACTGAAAACTGGAAAGCACCCTTTGGACATGCGCGAAAGGAGTAGAACTGCATTTTGATCTCTTTCTGTACTCAGGACATGCAAATCAAGTTAGTCCCCTTCCAAATGTAGACAGAAGAAAATCTTCACATATCCCAATTATCACTGCTAACATAGATTCAAAGAGCTTAAATGTGTAACAGGGGGAAAGAAAATGAACATGGAAAGTTGCAGTGAAACAGAACAGAGTCTAACTCTGCGATTCACTTCTGAAGTTATCCTAGTTCAAATGGAATTCCGGAGGAGCAGAATGGAGGCTGGTGTGAACCAGAGTAATGATTAAGGTGAGGAAAAAGCGAGGAGGGAAGTGCACGCCTGGGGAAGGAAGGAATTGCTGGGCTCTTGACGTGGGCCCACACTCCAGCTAGAGCCCCCAGACTTGCTCTTCCTGTTCCCCATTGCGCCCTGCTTGTTCCCCCGCATCCTGCTCTGACCAGACTGGGAGGAGGAGTGATGGACTCCCTGGCTAGGATCCACTTGGGGGTGGGATTCCCTGGACTTGGCTTTCTTGTGGCCCTGAATCTGACTTCCTGGCCAGGAATTGTGCCCCGCACACCACTGCACGAGCCCTGTTCCTCTCCCACACAACCTCGGTTCGTGCTGCACATGATGCAGAAGGTTGGCCATTGAGCAAGCGGGCTTCCCTGAGCATGCATGGATTTCCGTTCTGCTCAGCTCGCTTCCTAAGACAAGGTCAAGCACAGGAGGAAGTCTGAAGAGGGACAGAGTGCAGGGCACTAAATCGCAACTCCGTCCCCACTCAAGCATGCGGTGTCAGCCATGAGGAGGACGGGGAGCAAGAGCAGCTGGCAGAAGTGGCCTTGAGGATGGGAGCTCACTGAGGGTGGGAGGCCAAGGTCCCATCAAAAGCTGGAGGCGGCTCAGAGCATGCCGGATTTGTTTGCAGTTGTGCTCTGAGCCTACGAGTCGCAACACGAATACAGGCTGCAGTGGGAAGGTTTAATCCAGTCACAGAGTCCTCCTAAAGCCACCAAAATGTTCGGTCAATAAAATGCATGAGGCATCATTTTCTTTCACATTGTTTCTTATGAACTACGTTACGTTATGTTACATGGCTTCCTCAAAAGCACACATGAGAAGCAACTGTCACCACATTTATGCAGGAGTTCCGCTAAAAGGAAGCGAGGTGTTGGCAAGAGGGTGGGCAGGCAGGGGGTGCCGGGGTCCTCCAGGCAGACAGGGTCATGCCAATGGCCATCTTCTCCATCGTTTAATTCCAGGTATGAGGCAGAGGTGGGATTTCTCCATTACACTTCTCAGTTGTGCA